AATTAGTTCACTCATTTCTATAGCGGGGAATAGCAATACTTATAGGACTGTAGTAAATATTAAATTGGGTCTGTTATGTATATAACACACCTACCACGTAACATCATTGTTGTTATTACTACTGTTACTATTATTTATTATATAACTATTCTGTTGTTTTAAAAAATATCCAGGGAGAAAAAGTATATGGACACTTTTAGAAACAAATTAGCCAGAACAAACTGTAACGATAAAGAGCTTACTCAGAAGACACTTGAATGGTATATATTGAATAGTGATAAAGGGGAAGGGAAAAGATGATTAAATTAATTGACTGCTAAAGTATTTTTTTCCCAGCTAAATGCCAAAACTAAGGGGTTAAGTGAAGACTTTCCGCATGTATGAATTTTATTTATTCACTCATTCATTTATTCAAAACTGCATATTTATGTAACATGAACTATATGCTGGGCATTGTGGAATAAGAAAGATCAAGAGTTAGGAGCATGCAAAGAGAATTGCATCTAAATAATTATAGTACTTTTTCAAATGACAAGATTACAAAAAGATGTTCACTGTCATCAATAATTAAATCATACAAATTAACAAAATTATAAGATACTTTCTCTCATAGGATTTAGAAAAATTAGAATGACTAGTAACATTTAAAATTGGAAAAGATGTAAGCATACTCTCATCCATTGTTTGGACGTGTGTAAATTAATACAATTATTTTTGGCAATATTTGAGTGACTTGAAAATCTTGATCTAAATTTAAAATGTTCATAGCCAGCAATTCTCTCTCTAGAGAAATAGAGAAAGGGAGAGAGGGGGAGAGAGAGAGAAAGAGACAGAGACAGAGAGGTTTGCTGCAGTGTTGTTTATAATCACATAAAAGGGAAAGAGAATTGCAACAGAATAGTGTATTTCTATGTTTACACTCACATGTCTGTTGTTAGAGGACCTCAGTCACATGAACCTCTCCATAAGGCTAATTGAGCACCATTATGCCATGGCAGCTGATTTCTCACAAAGAAAGTCATGTAAGAGAGAAAGATAGATGCTGCCACCACACACAAAAAATGATAAGTATGTGAGGCAATGCATATGTTAATTAACTTAATTCAGTCATTCCACAATATATACACATTTAAAGAACATGTTGCACATGGTAAATATATACAATTTTTTTATTTGTATTTAAAAACTAATTTAAAAAATAAAGCTACAGTACCTTTTAGACCTAGTCTCAGAAATCACACAGTATCATTTCTACAATCTTGTGTTAATTAGCACAGAATCCCCAAATCCAGCCTAAGCTCAAGAGGTGGCAAATTAGGCTTCAGTTTTTGGAGGGAGGAGCGTTGAATAATCTGTGGACATATTTAAAAACTATTCCACTTTGTTGTCTGGCTACAAATTATATACATTCTTTATATATTGGAAATATATTCACCCTCTTCCATACCAACTCCTAGTGCCATGTCTTAATTTTTTGCAACATCAGCTAAAAGTCTAGAAATTTGTCATCTGAATCAGACCTAAATGTGAATCCAGCTTCTCTAGTATTGTTTCTTAAATGCAGCTCCTTGAGTACAGTTCCTTTTATCTCAAGCCTTTTGGACTAAAGAGGCAAGTTACCCATATACTCATTCAACATGCATAAGATAACTATAAACAATCCTGTTCAAATAGTGGAAAAATGGGAAGCCTAAAGCAATCACTGGTCCATGCAATTCTGAAATCCACCCAGGCTCATGTTCAGTGGTTTTTGATTCTAACTCAAGGAAATTCCTAGGAATCGTTCTCCATGGCTCTTGGCTGTACCCTGTGGGTTACTGGTTTCCTCCTCTGATTGATTTTCCCTTTCCCTTGAAAGGTACCCTGTTTCGGAGCTGTGCATTTTTCTCAGGAAAACTTTGGAATTTCAAATGCCTCTTTTTGCTGTGTACTATCTCTGTTCCCTTCAGTCTAAGCTGACGGTATTTCTGTCAATATCATTTTTTAAAGAAACTTTCTGAATCTCCTGTGAACCTTATTCAAGCTCACTTCATTAGACAAAAGCCATACCCCAAAATATTTTCAAGGAAAGTTCTTCTGTACTTTAGGCTTCTGCTGAACTGTGGGAGGACAATACCCTTAAGCTTATTTAAAGCTCTGTTGTTTCACCGAATGGTTCTCACAGGCACCGTCTTACATCTTTCTGATGTTGTAAACAAAGTATTTTACAGTCACACCCTCATCTTCATCTCTGGACCATATTTCCCATCAGTGCCCTGAATTTGATTTTTGCTGGGAAGTCATGACTTTATTTTAGGCATGTTTGCCATCTAGAGAGGCTGGAGGTTTTCAAAACCATTATGCCTTCTCACATTTAGCAATTCTTCTTTTAGTTTATCTCCTTTCTCTCACATTAAGTATCAAGAAGAAACCAGGTAAAATCTTCAGTACTTTGCCTGGCTGTCTCCTTAGGTAGATCACTCAGTACATTAGGTACATCATCTACTTTCCGCATTACTACAGATGATAGTATTGTGAAAACACATCCCATGTATCCCTTTTCTTCAGGTTCCAATAAGCTTTTTCTTACTTTTCTTTAAGATTTTACCATTAGCTTTCCTCTAGTCATCAGGCTTCTATTAACAGTTTCATTATCCTTTTTCTAATATTCACCCTTAAAGCCTTTACAGCTCTTGCCCACATCTGTTTCCAAAGCCATTTCCACAGTTTTATGTATTTATTATGATAGCACCTATTTTTGAGTATCAAATCTGTATCAGTTATTTACTGCTTTGTAGCAAATTACTCCAAAACATAGCAGCTTATAACACCATTTATTATGTCAGAGTTTTTGTGGGTTAGGCATCAGGGAGCAGCTTATGTGGGTAGTTTTGCCTCAGGATCTCTCATGAGATTACAGTCAACATGTCAGTAAGGGCTACAGTCACCTGAAGGCTTGAATGAGGCCAGAGGATCCACTTCCAAGATGGCTTATTCACATGTACATTGGCAAAGGGCCACAGTTCTTCACTGGCTATTAACAGGAAGCCTCCATTCCTTGCAAAGGGCCACAGTTCTTCACTGGCTATTAACAGGAAGCCTCCATTCCTTGCTATATTGGCTTTTCCTTAAGTCTACTTGAATGTTCTCATGACATGGAAGGAAGTTGGCTCCCCCAAGAGTGAGTGATGTGGGAGAGAAAGCAAGGATTGAGCCACAATGTCTTTTATGATCTAGTCTCAGAAGTCATACACTATAGCTTCTGCCACATTCTAACCATTAAAAGTGAGTCATTAGGATCAGCTCACACTCAGGAGAGGGCAGTTAGGTTCTATACTTTGGAGGATGGACTATCAAGAAATTAGTGGACTTATTTTCGGAATGTGTGTGTGTGTGTTTTTTTTTTTTTTATTTTACTTTTTAAGTTCTGGGATACATGTGCAGAACGTGCAGATTTGTTACATAGGTTCACATGTGCCATCGTGGTTTGCTGCACTTATCATCCCATCATCTAGGTTTTAAGCCTCACATCCATTGGGTATTTGTCCTAATGCTCTCCCTCCTTTGCCCTCCACCCCTATACAGGCCCCAGTGAGTGATGTTCCCCTCCTTGTGTCCGTGTGTTCTCATTGTTCAGTTCCCACTTACGAGTGAGAACATGTGGTGTTTGGTTTTCTGTTCTTGTATTAGTTTGCTGAGAATGATGGCTTCCAGCTTCATCCATGTCCCTGCAAAGGACTTGAACTCACAGAATATGTTTTAAAACCACTGCAACACCCATTAGAAAGTGAATATATAAATATTCACTTAGAAAATGTTGATATATTATTCTGTCAAAACACAAAGCAAGTTTTATAACTATATGTATAGCATGACTATATGTTTGGAGAAAAAGCAATGTAACCTTGAATATGTGGGTCAAAGCATAAAAAGTTTTTGAAACCTACAGACGTAAATGTTGGTAATTCTTACAGAGTTATGATAGGCAGTTTGGAATGAGCCTAGTGGGACATAAGAGAAGAAGAATGAGTTTCACATATTACTTTTAAAAAGAGGTAGAATTTATGCATTTTGACTTTCTACTTGTGTTTTTCCATATTTTCAAACTTTCTAAAATAAGCATGTGTAGCTCACCCAATTAACAATTGTGCTTACCAGGAGAGAATGTTTATTTAGCTATAAATGTTGAATTGAGATTGGAGGAGAATGGCTATGAGGGCATGACCCATCTGAAGTCCCAAGATAATAATCAAGCGTCCAAGAGAAAAATCATTTTGTTACTACTGAACATCTGATTTGTTCAAAGTAGATAAAATCAGCCATGTAAATTATGCAGAAAACATAACTTCAGTTCTATTTACTTTACTACAGAGTAAATGTTGACAAGATTTTAAGATAGAATATAAAACAAAGGACTTCTGGTCAAAATGGAAGTATGGCAGACTGAAGCATAATTTACCTACTCTTCCCTCCTGAAACTCCACTACAATGTTAGTAAAGGCTGTGCACACACATGCATGCGCACACACATTTAAGAGAGTGAAAGAGAGACAGAGAGAGAGAGAGAGAAAGAGAACAGAAAAGAGGACAACAACAATATAATTTTGGCTGCTGGAAAGCTGATGCATGAGTGGTAACTTAGCTTTGCAGATCAGAAGAATCTGAAATAGAAGCCCATGAGGGTGAAAGCCAGGGATTTCCAGAAACAGTCTTGGGAATTGAAAGCACTGGGTACTTCAGAATGGAAGGGGCACAAGTAGAGAAGAACACAAGAGGATTGATTTAACGTCTACTTAGGACACAGTTTATTTCCCAGATCCTCTCTGTAGCAACTGGAGAGTATCCACTCTCCAGTCAGGCAACTTTCTCTTTCTGACCTTGGCAGAAAATTAGATCTGGAGATGTCAAACCAGAGAACTCTGGACTTAGACATTAGGTAGAGTGGAGAATAAGAATACTATACCAAAAACAGGGAAAGTAACTGAAAGTCTTTATTCTAAACAATCTCTTTCATGGCTCAGCTTTAGAATTCTGGCATCGATATTTAAAGGCAGGGGATTGGTGGATTCCTTTAGGAAGGAAATGATCAGCCCAAGAGGAAAGCAAAGCAAAGCGAAGCAAACAAAACAAAACAAAACGTGACAGTTGGGGAGTCCTTCGATGAAACAGGACTGAATTATTCTTCAGTGAAGCCCTGTCTTCAATAAGCACTAGTCTCTCTCACACACACAAATGTAAGCCTTCTCTCTCCTTGTTGTTATTATTTTTTTTAATTTCAGAAATGAGGATCTCGCTAGTACTATCTCTGTTTTCTTCAGTCTCAAGTGATCCTGGGCTCAAGTGATCCTCCCACCTCAGCCTCGCAAGTGGCTAGGATTACAGGTGCATGCCACTGCACCTGGCTGGGCTTCTCTCTTAATATGAGCCAAAATAAGAATGACAAGAGATTTCAGAAAAATTTTTAACATCAGAAAGGCCGAAACAAAGAAAAAGGTAACACGAACAAAACAAACCATGTAGGAAGTAGAAGAAAAAAACATGTATTTATCATCAGTGAAATAAGAAAAGATATTACATCCATGAAACACACAAAAAAAGTTATAAAAAGCAATATTTGAAAAACAAAATAAAGGCCTTAGACATTTTAAAATGTGATGCAAGAAACAAAAATTTAAATGTTCTATGAAAAGAGTTAAGAAAATGTCTTAAAAATATAGAACAACAACAAGAAGATGTAACATAAGTGAGAAAACATACAGTCTACATGTCTATCATTTGAATAATATAAATACCTGAAAAAAATCAGAGCAAATGGAGGGGAAAATTGCCAAATAAATAATGCAATATTTTTCAGAATGAAAGGACATATTTCCAGATTGAATGAATCCCACCAACTACTCAGCATCCCACATTAAAGTAGACTCATGCAGGAGTACATCATCACGAAATTTTGGAACACTGGGAACATGTAGACCTTAGACACATCCTGACTGTTTTAAAAAGCTTACAAAGGATTGAAAATCAGAATGTCATCAGACTTCTTACAACAAGTTAAACTGCAGAAAAATGGAGCAATGTCTTCAAAGTTCTTAGAGAAAATTTTTTCCAAGCTCTAATCTGTACCCTAACAACTAATATAGTTTGAAGTTAGAATAAGGACAGTTTCAGACAAGCAAGATCCAAGCAAATTTACATTCTATGCATCATTTCTCAGAAAGCTAAAGGAGGATGTACTCATTAAGTAAAGAGTAAACTAAGGGCAAGATATGGAATCCAAGGGAGAGACCTCACTCAAGAGAGTCAAAGGGAATTCCCTGGATGATAGCAAAAGAAAATCCCCAAGGCAACAGCTGTGTTGCATCCTTGAATATATTCTGTACCCATTAACCTTCCCTACTTTCTCTCCCCTCCCCACTATCCTTCCTAGCCTCTGGTAATCATTGTTCTATTCTTTATCTCCATGAGTGCAATTGTTTTAATTTTTAGTTTCCACAAATGAGGGAGAACAAGTGAAGTTTGTCTTTCTGTGACTGGCTTGTTTTGCTTAACATAATGACCTCCAGTTCCATCCATGTTGCTGCAAATGGCAGGATCTCATTCATTTTCATGGCTGAATAGTACTCTGCTGTGTATATGTGCTGCATTTTCTTTATCCATTTGTCTGCTGATGGACACTTAGTTTGCTTCCAAATCTTGGTTATTGGGAATAATACTGCAATAATCATGGGAGTACAGATATCTCTTTGATATCCTGATTTCCTTTATTTGGGATATGTAGCTGGCAGTGGGATTGCTGGATCACATAGTAGCTCCATTTTTAGTGGTTGTACTAATGTACATTACCACCAACAGTTTACAGGGGGTCACTTTTCTCCACATTCTCACTAGCATTTGTTATTCTCTGTCCTTTGGATAAAAGCCATTTTAACTGAGGTGAGATGCTATCTTATTGTAGTTTTGATGTGCATTTCTCTGATGATTAGTGATGTTGAACACTTTTTCATACACTTGTTTGCCATTAGTATACCTTCTTTTGAGAAATATCTATTCAGATCTTTTGCCCATTCTTAATTGGATCATTACATTTTTCTCTGCTAAGTTGTTCAAAACTGGAGGAATCACATTAATTGACTTCAAATTATGCTACAGAGCTATAGTAATCTATATTCTGGTTATTAGTTTCTTGTCAGATTGGTAGTTTGCAAATATTCTTCCATTCTGTGGGTTGTCTCTTCTTTGTTAATTGTTTCCTTTGCTATGCAGAAGATTTTTAACTTTATGTGATCCTATTTGTCCATTTTTGCTTTGGTTGCCTGTGCTTATGGGGTATTACTCAAGAAAGCTTTGCCCAGTTATGTCCTGAAGAGTTTCCCCAATGTTTTCTTTTAGTAGTTTCTTAGATTGAGGTCTTAGATTTAAGTCTTTAATGAAGTTTGATTTGATTTTTGTATATGGTGAGAAATAGGGGCTTAGTTTTATTCTTCTGCATATGGATATCCAGTTTTCCCAGCACCATTTATTGAAGAGACTGTCCTTTCTTCAACATATGCTCTTGGCACCTTTGTCAAAAATGAGTTCACTGTGGACATGTGGGTTTATTTCTGGGTTCTCTATTCTGTTTCATTGGCCTGTGTGCCTGTTTTTATGCTGCTACATGCTGTTTTGGTTGCTATAGCTCTGTAACATTATTTGAAATCAGGCAGTAAGATTTCTCCAGTTTTCTTCCTTTTGCTCAGGACAGCTTTGGCTATTCTGGGTCTTTTGTTCTATATAAATTTTAAGATCTTTTTAAAATTTCTGCTGAGGTTTGCTGGGGGTCTGCTCCAGACCCTAGTCCTGTTGGATTTTCCAGTGCCTAGAGGTATCACTAGCAAAGACTGCAAAACAGCAAAGATAGCAGCCTGCCCCTTGCTCTGGGAGCTCCCTCCCAGGGGAGTACAGACCTGTTGCTGGCCCAAATGCATTAGTAGAATGTGGCTAGAGACCGTACTTGGGAGGTCTCACCCAGTCAGGAGGAATGGGATCAGGGACTCGCTTAAAGAGGCAGTCTGGCCGGGCATGGTGGCTCACGCCTGTAATTCCAGCACTTTGAAAGGCCAAGGTGGGCAGAGCACCTGAGCTCAGGAGTTTGAGACAGCCTGGGCAACATGGTGAAGCCTTGTCTCTACTAAAAATAAAAAAAAATAAAAAAATAAAAATAGCTGGGCATGGTGGTGTGTGTTTGTATTCCTGGCTACGTGGAAGGCTGAGGCAGGAGAATCCCTTGAGTTGGGGAGGTGGTGGCTGAAATGAGTTAAGATCATGCCACTGCACTCCAGCCTGGGTGGCAGAGGGAAACCTGAAAAAGAAGAAAAAAAAAAAGAGAAAGAGCGAGAGAGAGAGAGAGAGAGAGGAGGGAAGGGAGGGAGGGAAAGAAAGAAGCAGTCTGGTTGCTCTTTGGTAGAGCAGCTGTGCTGTGTTGGGGGATCCCTTCAAGCCTTGCACTATGTCCCAGGGAGAAATTAGAACTCTGGCAGCTGTAGGGGCAGGGGTGGCTGGAGACCCCAGGTAGGATGTCCTGCTAAGTGAGGAGGAATAGATTGGGGTCCTATTTAAAGAAGCAGTTTGGCCATGCCTTGGCAAAGCAGCCATGCTCTGCTGGGGTACTGCCTCTGGCCCAGTTGTTTTAGACTCTCTAAAGCCTGCAGGCTGGAATGGCTGAGTAGCCAAAACAGCAAAGGTGGTGGACCACCCCTCCCACGGGGCACTCCATCCCACGGAGAAATCAGAACTGTGTTAGGCATAGCATATGGGCAGAGGTGGCTGGAAGCCCCAATTGGGAGGTCCCACTCAGTGGGGAGGAATGGATTGGGATCCCACTTAAAGAAGCAGTCTGGCCATGTTTTGGTAAATCAGCTGTGCTGTGCTGGGGGAATACCTTTCTTGTCCAGTCCATTTAGACTCTCCAAAGCTTGCAGGCTAGAACAGCAAAGATGGTGGCCTGTCCCTCCCTCTGGGAGCTCTATCCTGTTTCAGGTAGGCAGTACCCTGTTGCTGGTGGCTGCTGGAATTCCAAGTCAGTTTGTCTCATCTTATGAGGTTCCGTAGAAATGGGCCTGTAAACCGATGCTGGCTGGCCCCCTGGATTTAGCCCCCTTCCTAGGTGTATATATGGACCTCCCACCTTGGCTGAGTTCGTCACCTTTGCAGGGGATCCTGGGGCTGTAGTACGTAAAGCTTCTGAGTCTCTGTGTGTGCCTGAGCAGCAGCTCTGCTGAGACTCCACACAGCTCTGTATATCAGACGTATAGCCCTGGTGGAGTGGGTTCACAAAGGGATGTCCTGATCCAAGGGTTGCAAAGATCCGTGGCAGAAGCGGGGTTTCCGATGTTGCACGGTCACTCATCACTTCTTTTGGCTGGAGAGGGGGTTCCCTTAGCTCTGTGTCGCTCCCAGGTGGGCTGCTGCCCTGTCCTGCTTTTCTCCTTTCTCCATGGGTTAGGCTGGTTCCCTGATCAGTCCCAATGTGAGTACCTCCCTGGATGTTTCAGTTGAAGGTGCTGTATTTACCCACTCCTTTCATTCTTCTCTGTTGAATGCCACACACTTTAATTGCTTCTAATCGGCCATCTTGGCCCCAACCTTTAGTTTTCATGGTAGAGAGATTTTACTTTGGTTAAGTTTATTCCTAAGTATTTTATTTTATTTGTAGCTATTGTAAATGGGATTACTTTTTTTATTTCTTTTTCAGGTTTTTCACCATTGGCATATAGAAATGCTACTGATTTTTGTGTCTTGATTTAGTATCCTACAACTTTACCAAATTTATCAGTCCTAATAGTTTTTTTGTGAGTGTGCATGTGGAGTCTTTAGGTTTTTCCAATACAAGATCATATCATCTGCAAACAAGGATAATTTGACTTCTTCTTTTGAATGCCCTTTATTTCTTTTTCTTGTCTGATTGCTCTAGCCAAGACTTCCAGTACCGTGTTGATTAACAGTGGTAAAAGTGGACATGCTTGTCATGTTCCAGATATTAGAGGAAAGGCTTTTCAGTTTTTCCCCACTCAGTATGATACTAGCTATGGGTCTGTCATATGTGGCATTTAATACCCAGTTTTTTGAGGGGCTTTTTAAAATCGTGGATGAAGGCTAAATTTTATCAAATGCTTTTCCACCATCATTTGAAATGATCATATGGTTTTTGTTGTGCATTCTGTTTATGGAATGTATCACATTAATTGATTTGCAAATGTTAAACCATTCTTGCATCTCTGGGATTAATTCCATTTGGCCATTTATGATGAATGATCTTTTTAATCTGTTGCTGAATTAAGTTGCTAGTATGTAGTTGAGGATATTTGCAACAATGCTCATCAGAGATATTGGCCTATAGTTTTCCTTTTTTGATATGTCTCTGTCTGGCTTCGGTATCAGGGTAACACTGGCCTTGTACAGTGAATTTGGAAGTATTCCCTCCTGCTCTGTTTTTTGGAATAGTTTGAGGAGGATTGGTATTCTTTAACTGTTTGGTAGAATTCAGCAGTGAAGCCATTGGGTTAGCTTTTCTTTGCTGGGTGACTTTTTATTATGGCTTCAATGTCATTACTTCTTATTGGTTTATTCAGGTTTGGTATTTTGTATTTCTTCATGGTTCAGTCTTGGTAGGTTGTATATGTCTGGGAGTTTATCAATTTTTTCTAAGTTTTCTAGTTTATTGTCATGTATATTACTTATAGTAGCCTCTAATTATCCTTTAAATAATCTAATAATCCTTTGAATTTCTGCAGTATCAGCTGTAATGTCTTCTTTTTCCTATCTGATTTTATTTAGTTGGGTCTCTTTTTCTTGGTCTGGCCAAAAGGTTTGTTGATTTTATCTCTTCAAAAATCCAACTTTTGATTTCATTGATCTTTTATATTTTTTGTATCAATTTCATTTACTTCTTCTCTGATATTTATTATTTCTCTGATATTTACTAATGCTGAGTTTGTTTTGCTCTTGCTTTTCTAATTCTTTAAGATGCATTTTTAGATTGTTTATTTAAAGTTTTTCTACTTTTGTGGGGTAGGCACTTACTGCTATAAACTTTCCTCTGAGTATTGCTTAGTACTATTAGGCTTGCAAATAACATCTTATAACCCATTATTTTAAACTGATGGCATCTTAACTACAAACAAGCAAAGGAAAAACTAATAAAAACTACTTTAACTTTATCCCTCTACTTTTTGACTTTTTGTCGTTTCTATCTTATTATATTATGTCTTAACAAGTTGCTGGTAGTTATTATTTTTGATAGGTTCATCTTTTTAGTCTTTCTACTCAAGATATGAGTAGTTTACACATCATAATTACAGTGTTACAATAGTCTGTCTTTTTATGTGTACATGCTATTACCAGTGAGGTTTTTTTTTTTTTTTTTTTTTTTTTTTTTTTTTTTTTTTTTTTTTTTTTTTTTTTTTTTTTTTTTTTTTTTTTTCAGATGATTTCTTTTCACTTGTTAATGTCTTTTTCTTTCAGATTGAACTCTCCTCAGCTGATGAAATCTCTCAAATTTTGTATGTCTGGAAAAGTGTTTATTTCTCCTTCATGTTTAAAAGATTTTCACTAGAT